CAGCAGGTCGAGGCTGCAGTGGCCGGGAGCAGCCACTGCACCCCAGTCTGGGCGACAGAGCGAGACTCCAACTCAAAAAATAAATAAATAAATAAATAAATAATAAAAAATGTAGCTGGGCATGGTGGCATGGGCCTGTAGTCCCAGCTGTCAGGAGGCTGAGGTGGAGGGATCACCTGAGCCCAGGTGTTGAGGCTCCAGTCAGCCGTGATCATGACACTGCACTCTGGCCTGGGCAACAGAATGGGATCCCGATTCCAAAAAAAAAAAAAATGTCTGCTGTATTCTCAAGTGCTAATCTAGGCTCTATGTACTTTGTAGGAGTACATAGTTCATGTACTCCTCACAGTAAGCCAATGAGATGAGAGCAATTATTAGCCCCATTTAACAGATGAGAAAAACAAGGCTTAGATAAATAAAATGAACTGCTCAGTGTCACACAGTGGCAAATGGCAGAGCCAGGACTTGAACTCAGCTCTGCCTGACTCCCAAATTGTGTACTTTCTCTCCCTTATGTCATGTGGCTTCATAGAGGTGGCAGTCTGGGGTTCCAACGATTTCACACATGGTTAGGGCCTCAGTAACTATCTAGCTACTTCTGCCTTCTAGAGCAGGGAGAGGTTCAGAGAGGTCCAGAGAGAAAAAAATTCCAAGGTCACACAGCAAAGCCACTATGGAGCAGAATTAGAAAGCAAGCCCTCCTGTGGCTGGGCGTTGTGGCTCATGCCTATAATCCCAGTAGTTTGGGAGGCCCAGGCAAGAAGCTTGCTTGAGCCCGGGAGTTTGAGACCAATCTGGGCAACCTAACGAGACCTGGTCTGTACAAAAAAAGAAAAAAGAAAGCCTGGTATTCAGTAAAAAGCATGCCATTTCTGAGGGGCGTGTGAGTGTGTGTTTGTGTAAGAGAGAAGAAGAAAGATGGAGACAGACATATGTATGCACACCTATGCACACGCATACACACACACACCCAGCTGGTGGTGGACTTGTCCCAGAGACACCGCCCGGGCCTGGCATCTCATACGCTCCCTCTTTGGGCCACATGAGATCATCCCTCTTGGCACTTTATCTCCACACTACCTTTCCTACCTAAACTGTACCCAGGGAGTCTCATAGACATGCGGGAGATTTTGTTCCTGGAGAATCTGCCCAGAGAAACCAGGGTGGAGGTCTTCTCTGGTCCCACAACAGGACTCCCGGTGCCATGTGGCTGTTCCCCAGACTGTGTCCACCCCACCGCAGACTCAAGGCACCCACGGGGGGGTTTCCAGGAAGGTCTGGAAGGCTCAGTTGGACACAGGTGCCACCGCCCAAGGTCAGGGCTTTGAAGAGGAAGCACTGTGTGTCTGGATGGGCTCTGGTGTGTGAGGAATGCCAGCCCTGTGACTTTGCTGTCACACCTTGGCCACGTGACAAGGCTGTGTGTGCGTGTGTGTGTGTGTGTGTGAGAGAGAGAGAGAAAGAGAGAGAGAGAGAGAGAGAGAGAGAATGAGACTGTGAGCAGCCAGGGAGCTGAGTAACTTGTGGGAGGCCTTAAGGGAATCAACTTGCCCCTAGGGCCTGCTCTGGGGCTAGGAGTTTTTACAAATGTGAAATCATCCCTGTCCTCCTGATAACCTTTTTTCCTTTGAGTTGGAGTCTCACTCTGTCTCCCATGCTGGAGTGCTGTGGCACCACCACGATGATCATGGCTCACTGATCCTTCGGCCTAAGCCCCCCAGTTAGCTGGCCTACAGGCGTGCACCACCACACCTGGCTAATTTTTTGACTTTTTGTAGAGACGAGGTCTCGCTATGTTGCCCAGGCTAGTCTGGAACTTCTGGACTCAAGCAATCCTCCTGCCTTGGCCTCCCAAAGTTCCAGGATGACAGGCATTAGCCGCCGCGCCCGGCCCCTCCACTAACTCTTATCCCCATTTTGCAGGTGACTCAACTGAGGTCAGAGAGGCCCACACATGTGCCTGAGGTCACACAGCAAGTAGATGGCAGGGACAGGATTCAGACTCTTGGTCCTCATGACCTCACAGGAAGCAGGATGGAACTGTTGCCGAGAACAGGGGATTTGCTTTAGGCCTGAGTCCTGGCTCTGCCACTGGCGAGGCCTTTGACTTAGGGCATGCTACGTAGCCTCACCAAACCTCAGTGTCCTCATCTATAAAATGAGTAAAATAATTTTATTTTTCTTGAGTTGGAGTCTCACTCTGTTGCCCAGGCTGGAGTACAGTGGCATGCTCACGACCACCGCAGTCTCTATGTGCCAGACTCAGGTGATTCTTCTGCCTCAACCTTCCAAGTAACTGGAACTGCAGGCATGTGCCACCATGCCCAGCTAAGTTTTTGACTTATTGTAGAGGTGAGGTCTTGCCAAGTTGCCCAGGCTGGTCTCAAACCCGTGGGCTCAGGCAATTCTCTCGCCTCAGCCTCCCAAAATGTTGGGATTACAGACTTGAGCCACTGCACCTGGGATTCATTGATTAATTAATTCATTAATTAATTAGTTTGTTTTTTGCTTTTTTGAGTTGGAGTCTCACTCTGTCGCCCAGGCTGGAGGGCCATGGCATGCTCACGGTCACCGCAACCTCGACCTGCTGGGCTCAGGTGATCCTTCCACCTCAGCCTTCCAAGGAGCAGGAACTATAGGCATGCGCCACCATACCTGGCTAATTTTTTTTGGTTGGAGCCTCACTCGGTCGCCCAGACTGGAGTGCAGTGGCCGCTCCCGGCCACCGCAGCCTCGACCTGCTGGGTTCTGGCGATCCTTCCGCCTCAGCCTTCCGAGTAGCCGGAACTACAGGCATGTGCTACCACTCCCGGCTAGTTTTTTGATTTTTTTTTTACTGTAGAGATGAGGTCTCGCCTGCCCAGGTGGGTCTCAAACCCGCGGGCTCAGGCAATCCACTCACCTCAGCCTCCCAAAGGCGCGGGATTACAGGCTAAGCCACCGAGCCCGGCTCCGGCTAGTTTTCTACTTATTGTCGAGATGGGGGGGGTCTCGCCAAGTTGCCCGAGCTGGTCTCGAACCCATGGGCTCAGGTAATCCTCTCACCTTCGCCTCCCAAAGTGCTAGGTCTATATGTGTGAGCCACCACGCCCGGCCAGGTAAATGAGATTAAATGAGATGATTCATGTAGACTTCCAGCCCAGCCTAGCACGTGGTGAAGGCCCCCTCCGGCCTGGCATCATTATTTTGTGTGACTGTCACTTTCTCCCGCCTTGCCCACCCCGGGGTCACCGCACGCTGCCTGGCCGCCCGCAGACCATTACTGGGACTTCCATCCCCACCACGTGCACAGCGAGTTCGAGAGCTTCGCCGAGAATCACTTCACGGAGCTGCAAAGCGTGCAGCCCCCCCAGCTGCAGCAGCTTTACCGCCACATGGAACTGGAGCAGATGCATGTCCTCGACACCCCCATGGCGCCGCCCCACGCCGGCCTCGGCCACCAGGTGCGTGCCAGCGCCGGCCCCCTCCTCCGGGAGCCCGCCAGGCCTGCGGTGGGGCCCGGGAGCTTCACAGGAAGCTGACACAGGCTCTTACCCAACCCGGCTTCCTGCCCCCACAGCACCAACGGCGGCCGGAGCCCCAACGGCTGCCGCCTGACCCCCCGACTGACCTCGTGACCCCACGCCCCTTATCTCCTCTCGCCCCGAGATGGGTGGACGGACCCCAGATAACTCCCGCTGTCCGGCGGCTGGGCCTCCCCTGCCGTGGGCCTGCCTGACTCTCACTGGCTGCACCC